GTTTGTGTGTGTGTGTGTGTGTGTGTGTGTGTGTTGTGTGTGTGTGTGTGTGTGTGTGCGTGTTCCTGCATGTTTCTCTGTCTGTCTCTCTGCCTGTGTATGTTTTTTGAGTGCGTGTATGTCCCACTGTGTCTGCCTATCTACTTCCGTCCTTCTTTCTGCGTCGGTCTGTCTGTCTGTCCGTATCTGAGTATTTGTTTGTCTGTATCTCTCTGTTTATCTGTCTGTCTGTCTGTCTGTGTTTGTCTGTCTTTTGTCTGTCGTAAACGTTTTTTGTATTGTTCTGTAATTTTTTAGACATTTAAAAGATTTTTCATAGGTTTGCTAGAAGCAGTTTCATTACTATTGCTGGATCAGGCAGCAAGTAATGCCTCAAAGGTGGAACAGTGTCATTCGTAAAATTGTGATCGAAGGATACGCAATAAGAAAGTAGCTATCACTTCTTGAATAATGACAGTGCTGTAGAAGAGCCAACCTAGGATTTCGGGAAGAATCAACTTGACAAGATTCTGCGAAACCCAATGAGAGAACAAATTCCACAAGTGACAGCCGAATCTACGCACAAATTCGGAGACCCTCGTGAGTGACGCATGCGAAGTACACATGAAACACACATTAAATTTGAATCACCATCATTTCACTAAAGAGCTAAATAAAAACTTTGATACAGATGAAACAGATAAATTCATGTTTTGGTTGGTATCGCTGGGTATCTTTTAGATGACCAAACAACACACTTTCTTGAGAGACTATTAATTTTCTGACATCATAATTTGGTCAATCAATCTTGTTGCTTATGCTACACCTGAGAAGGAATTCGTTCAGTAAAATCTTTAAAGTGGAGATGGTACCGCAGTGGTTGGTGATGCAGTCCATGAGGAGGCAAGGTTCTAATTCGACCCCTCCCTAACGCTGTCCTCCAATCCGCGTGAGAAGTCCTTACTTCAGTGATGCTGAGATATTTGCAAAACTCCGGACCGCAGGTGGATGCGGTGGGGAACGAACGCGTTATTACTCTTTCTGGATGCCGACGCGTTCACCACCACACCATGCGGGTCCTTCGTTTCGCCTTTATCTCAGATAGTTTTATCGAGTCCTTACTTCGGCTATCTTTGGGAATGCAACGAGAATCATCTCAACCGGCATTCTACGACATTTATAAAGATAGTAAATCCTAATGCAGCAGTCGAAGCAACACGCAAAGTGTTCGAAAACTTTTGTGGACAATGAATGCGAGGAAAACGAATCGAATGCAAGTACTAATGGGATCCGCATGGCAGGTAAGATGAGGGATCGTGGGAAAGAAATTGGACAGAAAATAAATACCATCAGAAACGATCTTGGAGTTAACACTTCCAATGTACTAGGTCTTTCATGTACTAAGCCTTAACTTGTTCTGCGCAGTCATACTCATGTAACGGATAGTTAACTGAACCTATGCCAAAACACCACCTTCTCCAGATCACCTTCCCGGACTCGCGACTCACTATCCTGTTGCCTGGTGTATGTGATCCATGTTGTTAACCCCTACTGCATATGATCACTGTTCTACATTGTTTCCATTCTACTGTCTGTTCTTTTCAAAAATTAACTCCATTCTATGGATTAACCTAATAGGAATGTTGTCACAAGCTTACATGTGGTGTGTAACTCATAATTCAAGTATTACGGCCTTACACGAGTCCTTTGATCCCTTACCTCTTGCACCACTATTGATGTATTCTACATCGCACATGCACATCGCATTGCTGAACCAACCTATGACAAAGCTACTACCTTACTTCGAACCGTTTTTTTACCAACTGGTTTTACCCTCACTTATTGGCTGCTATCACATTCCCGCCTGCACTGTTCACGTGTTGACATGCCGTTATTATCTCTCTATTATTGTTATTAGCAGTTTAATTAGTCTAGTTTGAGACACTGCTCAGTGACAACGTCGAAAAAATTTCGCATGGCGAACTTGTTACGAAGTCGAGCATTCTACTTGGAGCTACTGATTAGTTGATGACGAGAACTGACTCGAAGACCTAATTTCCACTTACTGCTGCTATGAATAGGTCTTCATGAATCTAACAGCTTTGCTGAGATAAGTTGTGCAGAAGTTATACGACCTCCCGAGATGGAAAGCATGGTCAGCAAGGGACGACCATGCCAGTTTTTCCTAACCACTGCGCTTCCTGCGCCTTTTTTTTCGTCTATAAAAATAATCGAAAGCTGCTTACTTACATAGAATTTTATAGTTAAAGACGACCATGAGGTAGGGAAAGTTTCACTGAAAAATGGCTTCCATAAACGTAGAATATTACGGTAAAGAGAATGAACGGAAGAGAAGAGACAAGCGCGAAACACAAAGATGTAGGACAGAAGAAGACAGACAGAGAGGCAGCAGTGGAAAAAGGAAAGCGATATAGTGAGAATGAATTTTGCTACCGTTGTTTAAAATATAAAAAAAATCATGCACTTACACATCGTAAATATGCTGAAGTCGCAAAAAATAGTGAAGACCCTTGTCTTTAATAAAAATAAGCATTAGTCCTTTAGTAGAAGTGCTATGTAATCAACCACAATGATGATGCGACATTTGCAAAACTTTGACCACAGGACAGATCGACTTGTTTTGACCTTTTCTCAGCCAGTCTTTTTACCCACCAGCAAATCACCCGTCAGCGGGATTGATCTGGGAAGCCCAAATCGGTAGCGAACTCAGTTAAGCTGAACTGAACCCAACAGTTAATTCGTTGCTGATGGCACTGATCGATAGGATTAGCTGAGAGGCAGGTGAAACGAAGGACCCGCATGTTGTGGTAGTGAACGCGTTAGCCCCCGGAAAGGGTAGCAGCGCGTTCGTTCTCCACCGCAAACACTAGCGGTCCGGAGTTTTGCAAATATCTCAGCAGAACCACAAGTAACGCGTTCACCACCACACCATGCGGATCCTTTGCTTCGCCTGTCTCTCAGCTATTTCTATCGTTCTTTGCCACAGCAATCACCCGTCAGCGGGATTGATCTGGGGCGCCCAAATCGGCATAGAACCCAGTTAAGCTGCGGCTGCCGCGATATTATAGTAGGCA